TGCCGGCTGGGCTTGAACCACGACACCCCTGAAGACATAAACCAGGCATTCTGCAGTAACACACTTTCAGAGCCCGTTTATAGCATCTGTGGAAGCAACAGGACTCACCAGTGGAAATAATCCCTGTGGACGTGCTGCTTCTGAGGAACAGGCAGGATTCCTTAGCTGAAGCCTTTCCACATTGTTACCCCTTGGCCAGGCTGCAGCTGGAGGCCAACCTTCATGTTAGCAAGATGTGAAAACAAGGCGTCAGTTTCGATTTGCATTGCAACCTTAGGATAAGAGAGTAGAAAGTAGAACAATTACTTTGCCATTGGCTGGTTTTGTCACTGCACCTTTTCAGCCACTAATTCAACATTAAGTAGAAGCAAAAATGTGAATATAACTCATTTGAAAGCTCTTTCTTATTCTTTTTTGTACCAAGGGTGAAGTGCTAACACTCAGGACTGGCAGTTAAGTTACATGATGCTGTTTCTTGTGAGCAATATGCCTAAATCAAGCTTTGCAAGAGAGCTGTGAGTTGGCAGCTGAAACCTCACTGGTTTTCAATCACAATCCCTGGCAGGAAAGGGATGAGAGTGAAAGAGCAGAAGCTCTTTGTGGTGCTGACATCAGATGACCTAATGTCTGTGCTTCTCTCTCTCTGCTTGAGTAAGCTATAAACAGAGCTTTATAGCTGAGAGAATTTATACCAATAAAATGGAAATGTTATCATCATTATCTGAAGGACTGCTTGCTTTATCTAGCAAATAAAGACATCAAAATGACATTAACAAGACACTCCCTTTGGGACTGGAAAGTTTCGTTCCACTCCTGCATATTCACAGAACCAAGTAACTCACTGCTTGGATTTGGGGAGTTTCTTGCTACAATGACCAAGAATTGCTGGTGATTTAGCACTCACGTCCCTGCCCAGGATACCCTGCAAGCTACCAAAGCTGTGCCTATAGACCTGCAAGAGCAGAAAGGTCAAAAATCCCCAGCCTGATGTCTGCAAAGTAATGCCCCGGGATACAACAGGCTACATCAGAGTATAGGGTTCCCTCTCTGGCCCTAAGCCTGACTTAAAACCTACACTTGGCTGCCAGGTGGGAGAAAGTGAGTTCTAACCAGATCTTAATATTTCCCCTGTTGCTCTTTGAGTAGAAGAAAGAGGGATTGTCATGAGGGTTGTCCTTGAACTACACAAAGATGGGTGCTCCTGCTCTCAGGTGGTGAGGACTGTGAGTCCCTTTCTCCATGGGGACTTGATGTGGCATCTGGTGCCAGGAGCTCTGCTCTGGTGTGTTTTGCTACCCAAAGAACTTCTCAGTGAATACAATGATGTGTATATAATGCTTCTTGCTCTTTCTAAGCAATATACTTTGAGTATTGCAGATCTTCAAGCTATTATGAAGGAGCAGTTTCTCTTTTTTACAGGAGGAATAACAGTACCTACTCAAAGAAGGCATTAGTAAAGACCAAGACATTACTATTCTATTAAAAAGCATAGGTCATTTTACAACGCTGTTAATAAACCTACTTGATCCACAAGGAGTTAATTCTCTCCTGGATTTATCAGTTATCAGAAAGATTGTCTAAAGAAAGTTCCCGGTCTGACACTCTTTTTTGCTAGTCTCCTCCCTTCTTTGTTCTCTTCCTTATTTCTCCGATTACAGTTCCAAAAACAACACCCAACCTCCCGAGGTCAATGGTTAATATTCCCAAGTGTTTATATAGTCTCCAGCAGCAGCACTCGGGCTCTTCAGCACTGGGCCAGCTCCAGCACCATGCCTGGCTTCTTGCAGATTACCCTGGCCTGCAGGAAATACCTGATCACGGTGCTTGTTCCCCTCTTGTTTCTTCCTCTGCCTCTGGCTGTTCCTACTAAGGTAAGACCTTTTTAAACTGAATTTGAGAGCCACATCTCTGAATCTCTTCTTTGAGTTGTTCCTTTTAAATGAAAGAACTGAAGAGAACATGCAGATCCTTTCTCAGAGACGTTTCATTTGTGGCTTGAAGATCTTTCTGGTTTTGTGAGCAGACCCCTTTGAGTATTGACTAAGGCCATGGGATGTAAATGGATGAACAGATACATCTATGATTGCATATTCTAGAAGAATGTTAGTGACATGTGGTTTTGTAGCTTTTGTTTTGCATCTTCCTGATGTAGCAAAGGACTTTCAGTGCTGAAGCTCATACATGTGAACCCAAGATACAAATCTAAGGCTCAGTTTTAATCCTCCTTTCTGATTTCCTAAAAGAATGCAGTCCATATTTTGGTTTTTTTTTCTTTTCATTTTTTTCTTGTCACTGCCATTTCCTTGGTCAGAAGAACAAGGCATTGTGAGGATAAAGGAGTACATATTTCCCTCTCTTTTTTTAGCATATTCCTGTAAGAATCTTTCCAAAACAGTGATTTAAAATTGAAATTGTCCAGCTTTGGAAGACACCTGTGCTTAGGATTCCTCCAGTTAACTCCAAACTCCTGTAGCAGTGGGGCAGGTACTTCTGAGGCACTGATCATTCAAACCCAGTGTGCTCAGCAGGCAGACTGCCAGCATTCTGACTTATTCCTCAGCCTCCCAATCTCTTCATGCAGACAGATCTAATCTCTGCTTTTTAGGTCTTTTATTGCAGCCCCAGCATTAGTAAGTGTCAATGTACCTCTCCTGTCACTGCTCTTTGGACACCAAGTCCCAGCTCTTTCCTTCAGTCTCTGCTTGCCCCAAATCCCTGCTGACTCACAGTTTCTAGTCTCCTTCACCATGTTCCATCCTCACTCCAGTAGCTCTTCCCTGTCTTTTCGTCAGCCTGTGCCAAAGCCCTTTCCTCCTCACAGCAGTCTTTTTTGAGTGTAATCAGAGACTTTGGAGCTATGGATTGCAAGCAAGAATGAGAGAGTAGCACTGGCTTGAGGTGTGCCCTCTTATTCCAATGCTATGCAAATAAAATAGCTTAAACTATCACTTAAATGTTTACTAAGAAGAAAAACAGGAAAAAGAACCCTTTTTTGCTAGTTAACATTCCACAGCCAAAAGAGTTCCTGAAGTTAAAGAGATCTGGCTGAGAACAGTTCTAAGTAGCCAGAAAGAGAGAGATGGGTTTTATTTATCTTGAGGCCATGAGTTCAAACTTATTTGCTGGAGTCATTACCATACAATAAGTCCTTTGTATTGCCTATGGAATAACTTGGTCCAGTTCCTCTTTGGAAATGACTCTCTCTGGTTTCCAGGTAGTCAGCTACAACACAGAAATTCAAACTGTCCTGGACTTTTCCCTTTGCAATCTGTAAGAAGGTTTCTTGTGTTGGAGTTGTGCGTTGTGGTATGTTAAGCAGGAAAAGCTGGTGCCTCAGCAGGAGGGGTTCTGAGCACACAACCTACAGGATGGAATTTCACATTTTTCTCTTCTGTTGAGCTATTAACCTTTCACATAATGACAGCTCTGGACACTAAGCTATTACAAATGACAGCAAACAATGCTCAAGGTTTTGTCTAACACAGGACAGAGGAATTGTCCTTATGGAACAATTGATGTTGTGAAAAGCCTTGTTCCAGCTTCTACTGAGAGCCTGCGCACAGCAGGCTGAAGAGAACAGCACTGGGCCTACAATGTATGTTCCAAAGCATTGCCAGGGTCTCTCAGAAGGCATCTTTTGTGTTTGATGGGATGTGTAATTAAGGTGCTTCCTGCTTTCATTCAAAAATAAGGCTCAGAAAGGCATTCTGTCATCTCTTCATGAATCTCTTTCAGGTTTACTTCTCCAACCCTGCAGCTTTGGTAATTTACCACCTAGATTGTGATCTTCTTTCCTCCAGACTGCTCAGCTCCCCTGTTCATCCTTTTCCTTCACCAGCTCCATAACTTCCAGGCCATGTCCAGAAGTCCTCAGCATGTCCTAAAGCATCACAAGTTTGATCCTGCAGGCAGGCATTATCCCAGCTCCTTGATTTAATCCTCTGTAATCTCACCATTACAATGTCCATCTCTTCATTAATGCTTTCCTCACTTAGCATCACTACATTTTCATTCAGATGAAATGAATTCTATTCATTCATTCATGCCCACCCTTAATCCAAGGCCACACAATCACTATTTTCTTCCTTTGGATCTGCTGGTAGCCGTTATTGTGCCAGTTGCAAAATGAGGAAGACTCTGTTACCTGCAGTGTTACTTTTCCTTGCACTCTTCCTCAGCCCATCCTTATGAAAACCTGCTGTGACAAGTTATTTAGTGCATAGGGACTGAGTTAAATATTTGTATATAAAGTTTGGAGTAGTTATCCAAAGATCTAAAGTGTTTTCTCAGAAAGAGGAACATGAAATAGGGGATCATACCTTGTTCAAAGAAACAAGACAGAGTCAGTGGAAGCTGAAACTGATCTGTGACTGGTTTGTCAGTGAGCCTTTCAAAGTCTGTACTAAGCTAAAAATCCAGTGAAGAACAGATAAAGGTATTTAAGGTACAAGGAATTCAGGCTGTTGAAATGAGTTGATGTTCATCTGGGCCATATCCTGAAACATTTGGAGAAGAAGGGGGCAAAACCTTGGCTGGATCAGTAACTGTTTCTGCACCTCGAAAATAGAAACATAGAAAAAGAAAACACCACCATCAGCAAAGTCCAGAAGCCTGTGCAGGGACTGCCAATCCTTATCACGAAGGGTTCAAAGTCATCAATTTGTTTCTTTTCCTGTGGTTCTTGGTCCTCCCCATTGGAGGCCCCCATCTTCTCCTCACAAGACTGTTGAATTGCTTGCCATTAGATTAGGATCTGCAGAGGCAGGAGGACAGATAGGAGGGGAAGATAGAGAATAACCTTTTCTCTAACCCCTTTATCAGGTAATGAATATAATTATGGGCTGTTGCTTTCTCAAAGCTTAAGTGAGATGTACAGTCTGTTCTGATTGCATGTACTCTTCTTCTGTCAGGAGGCCCAATGTGGTTATGTTATCATAGTGATGGCACTGTTTTGGTGCACGGAAGCGTTGCCCTTGGCTGTCACAGCTCTCCTCCCTGTCCTGCTCTTCCCGCTAATGAATATCATGGATTCGACAACGGTAAAAAATCCTACTCTATACATGTTTGCCCGTGTGTTTGTTGGTCAGCTTGTTTGGGGTTTATTTCCAGGGTGATTTTCAGAGCAAAGAAAAGCAAATGGCACTACTGGTACACAGAAGTCATCTGTCCTCGCCATGGAACAGGACTTGCATGAGCCCAGAGTGAACTCTGGGTGGAGCTGCTAATCTGAACTCAAAGCAAATCCACTGTTGAGATGCAATCCAGAGTTAGTGCATGCTAATATCTTCGGAACAAGATCCTCCCTCAGAAGATGCCTTCTCTCTTGGCTTCTTGTTACTATTTCCTCTCCTTTGTTCCGTGTTACAGGTGTGCCAAGAGTACCTGAAGGACACCAATATGCTTTTCATTGGGGGACTGCTGATGGCCATTGCTATTGAGAGCTGGCACCTACACAAGCGTGTTGCTTTGCGGGTCCTGCTTATCACTGGTGTCAGACCAGCCTTGTGAGTAACAGTTGTGAAAACACTGTGGGATAAAGGACTTTATGGCATTAGTTCCTACCTCAGTTTCCTGTCGTCTCCCATGTGAATCTGCAAATTGTATCCTACAAATGCTTTTCTACAGTCCAAGTGAGTTAGCGCCTGAGCAGACCTTGCAAACAGTGATCCTTTGATGTGTTACAGACCTGGAATTCCAAATGGCTTTAGGTGGAGAAATAGCAACAAGAGAGTCAGTGCTAGAAAGACAAGGGTGCTGCTAGGCTTGGCCAGAAGCACAGCTTTAGACAGTCAGGAAAGACTGCAGCTGAAACACAGAAACCATACTCTCTAACTGAGAGAGAAGAGAAATATGGGGATGCTTGTTTTGAAAACAAGTGTTTACCAGACTAGAAGTTTAAGCTATGCAGAGGCCTCATGGCCCTATTTAATTTGTCTCAGATCATAAGATGAGGGAATAGTGAAGGAAATTACAAAGCAATAGAATAAAAACGCATACAAGATAAAGCCCTTTTCATCTGATATATAATCTACATCTCATCTGAAGAATAATTTTGAGACAAATAACAGAGTAATACTGAAACATGGATTAGAATTTTATATGAAGAAAATCTTAAATAATAGAGGGGATAAAATGACAAAAAAAAGAAAAGAGAGATCATCTTCCTTACAGCTTAAACTGATTGCCACTTGGGCTCAAATTCAGCTTTCCTCTTCCAAATACATGGTAATACATTAACATGTGTTGTTGAGGTGGAATGTCTTCCTCAGAAGCATGTCAAATAAGCAGGACACTGGCTGGATAAACTGCTCCAAGCTCCCAGCTTCCCCTTTCCTAGTGCTAAGAATGTAAAAGCACAACTGGCTGAAACAGCAAAAAGAAACCTTCATGTCAAATATTCCTGTGTCATTCCCAGAGCAGACGAGGGTAGGAGGAAGCACTGGGTGTGTATTGCTAAAGCAGTTTCCAGACCAAAAGCTTTGTAAGCAAAGCTTTGCAATGAAGAAAGGGCATCACAGAGCTGAGTTCTGAACTGACTTTTCTAAACCTTTTCATGCCAGGCTTCTCATGGGTTTCATGATCGTGACTGCCTTCCTGTCCATGTGGATCAGCAATACTGCTACCACTGCCATGATGGTTCCAATAGCGCAAGCAGTGCTGGATCAGTTGCATCAGACAGAAATAGACTCTAAGTCAGCTGGCGAAACAGCTGAAAACATCAATAAAGCCTTTGAACTGCAGGAAGAGTCAACTAAACCAGGTAGCTCCAAAGAAACAGAGGGAAAAGGTGAGTGGGTTATGGGTGGTTTTCTCTTTGGGGTAATGGAGGATGCCCTGAGGCCTTCTTCACTGTCATTAGAGTTACTAGTAAATTGTAAAAGAAGAATGTATCCAAAGCATTCTGACTGCATCCAATGGCATTTATGAGGCTCTTCCATTAACCAGACAAAAGCATAACAAGGTCTACTGACTTGGCTGAAGTTATAAATAGATTGAAAAGATGAAAAGATGATAATTAATCAATAAAACAGCAAAATGTATAAGTTCTCCATTACCAGAAGCCTTTATATTAGGTTTGATATTTCCCTATGTAGTTATATTAATTCAAATATTATCTACTGTGTAACTTATCAGATAATAGGGAATTCCCAAGGGAAAATTCCATGCCAGAAGGGTAGAGATTAAAATGATCTTTCTAATCCAAAGATATGCAATCGTACAACAATCTCTCTTTACCAGCTGTCTTGCCCTCTTTTCCTCTTTGAGGCAACTCAAGTGTTTCTGAATGCAAATCTCAGTGCCAGCAGTGAAGTGCTGGTACAGAACAAGTTCCCTTCAGTCCAACTCCTCTGGCCCTGTTGTACCTCCTGGAGTTCTTGCTTCTCCCCCCTCCATGTGCAGTTCAGACATTGCCTTAGTTCACTGAGAAGCGTTAGCAGTATGTTCAGACTTCATCACACATTTCAACTGCTCTGTGTCAAGACAAGCAGTGAAAAATGGACAAATCAAAGGATTATCAATGCCAGCCTTAAAAATGAGGAAATTTGGCTCCTTCAGCTTTGAAATAACCTTGAAATACTGAACAATGCAGGC